TTGTATCTATAGCATAGGTGATCTTTGGTTGTTGAGACTTTGTTAACTTGGCTTTAAGAGTCCTAACTTCTTTTTACCAAATATAGCAAGTATCACATCTAAAGTTAAATGGATTGTCATCTTCTTTATTATTGACTTTTGATCATCTACTAAAGAGTCCTTTAACGCTTCCGTTTTCTTTTTCGTTTCTGAAATTTTTTCCTCAAAGTGTGAAAAGATTTTTCTATTTGAGGCTAACTTTTTAAATTCTTCAATAGCTTCTTTGTGTAAGACTTCAAAAGCATTAAGTAACTTTAAATGAGCCAGTTTATCAACATATTTATTTTGAGAAGAGTTTACCTTAATTTTCTTACCTCCTTGATGATGACTAGATGGACATATCTCGTCACGTCTTGATGATTCGTAGTCCTTCTTCTTGTCTTCACAATAATGACCGAAGAGGTAGACTTCATCATACTTTGATGGTTTGTGTTCCTTATCCTTTCTATTTTTGATGTGAGTTGAAAGACAGAAGTTGGATAATTTTTCATCATCATTAGATTCTTCATCACTCAAGGATTTAATGTCGCTTCCCAAGCCACATAGGCCTTCCTAGGTGTGCCATGTTGTTTACATTGATTTCTTTTCTCATTTTTGTTGGAGTATGAAAGTATTGTATTTCTTACTTTGGACGTATCTTCCTTTGAGGATATAGATTGTCCTTTAGGCTTAATACCCCCTTTATTGAAGTCTTTTTCACCTTTCTTTTGCAAGTATTTATTAGGGATGGCAACGGGGCGGGTCGGGGGCGGGTTTTACTATACCCGCACCCGCACCCGCTTTCATGTAACACACCCGCCCCCGCCCCCAAACCCGACCGGGGGTAAAAATTTACCACCCAGACCCGCCCCCAGTAGAGAACGGGTGCACCCGCACCCGCCCCGCCCCCACCCGGAAAAATTTTTTTATTTTTAATTACAATAAAAATTAATAATTTAATTAAAAAATTGATTATTTTAATAAATTAATTATTTATTTAATTAAAATTTTAATTAGTAAATGAATATTAACTTGATTAATTTATTTATTTTAATTGCAATAAATGTATTAATAATTTAGTTAAAAATATAATTAATAAATAAATATTAAAATAAGTAAAATAAGAAAATTAAATTAAAATAAATTATTCGGGGGCGGGGCGGGGCCGGGTGCGGGCGGGTCTTAGTGTCTACCCGCACCCGTACCCGCACCCGTAATTAAAAATCGGATTTTCCCCGCACCCGCACCCGTACCCACTCAAACCGGGTTTTCCCCGCTAATTTCGGGGCGGGTCCGGGCGGGCCCCGACGGGTCTGGGTTTTTTTGCCATGCCTAGTATTTATGATACTTTTTGACAAACAAACTCATTTCTTCGTCATCCATAACATATTTGTTGCTACCATCATTGTCATAAAGATGCTCATCCTTTGAGGACTTAGAGCTTAAAGTCGTGGGAGCTTTGAACTTCATTCCTGCTTCCTTATCAATGTCCTTCTCTTTCTTCTTCTTCTTCTTAAGCTTCTTTTCATGTTTATCTAAGCAATTGAGTTCTTGCTCGTGTTCTTCTAACTTTTTGAACAAGGTGATGAGATCAAGTGTTGTAATATTGTTGGCTTCCTTGATGGTTGTAACCTTTGGTTTCTAATTCCTATTAAGACATCTCAAAACCTTGTTAGTAGCAATAGCATTGGAAATAGGATTACCTAGCAAGTTTAAACGATTAATAAGATGTGAGAACCGCTTTTGCATTTGAGCAATGGTTTCAGCATGCTTCATGCAAAAGAGTTCGAATTCTTGATTAAGTGTGTTAACTCAAACTTCATCGACCTCATTAGTTCTCTCATGGGCAACTTGTAGAGCATCCCACACCGCCTTAATAGTCTCACAATGAGAAACACGATAAAACTCATCGACACCAAGCGCAGATATCAAGATGTTTTTCGCTTTCCAATCGTATGACCACTTCTTATTATCTTCCTCATTTCATAGTGCTTCGGGCTTAGGTAAAGTAAAACCATCCATAACATGTATGATTGGTGTAAGTCTATTTTTAATGACCTCCCAAACAGCTTTATCATAAGAGTTCACATGAATTTTCATACAAGCTTTCCAATAACCATAGTTTTCTCCCGTAAATATTGGAGCTCTTTTATAATCCCCTTTAGGTTTGTGAGTCATTTTCTAATAAGCATTTCGAAGCACGGAATTAACTGGGCTCTTGATATCACTTGTTAGAAGAAGACGACTTGTCTAGAGGGGGGGGGGGTGAATAGACACCCAAGCCAAAATCACCAAATAAAATTTGGGTTTTAAAGTTATTTGAAAAAGAGTGTGCGCAGAAGGTTTTGGTATGGATCGACAAAAGTCGTTTATACGAACCTAGTTATTGGAACTCGGATATGCAAAGCCAATTATGTAATGACAGACACAATAATCGAATGTAACCTTTAATCGAATATCACGTTATTACTCGTTTAAACTAATTGACCTATTAATTCTATTTCCAATGATAATGAGCAAAAATATTAAACTATGCAATTTATCAAACACTTGGTGTGCGAACGGATTTTCAAAATTTCCTTTGTGTTGTTGTTGATATGAAAGTCACTTACAATCAAAAGTGATTATAAGCTAATCAACAATCAAGTTAAAACAAAAATATCACAAGAAAATTATTACGAGTCGATTGATTGATCAATGCTATTTGACAAATTTGCGTAATGAAAAATAAAGCAAGTAAAAGAGATAATAAAGAGATCGGCACGAGGATTAGTTTACGCAGTTCCCCACTTTCGTTCTCGCGTGTGGGTACGTTTGCGCCTAATTTCCAATGTAGAATTAGGAAACTTTCTTACTATGCAAGAAAAGTGTTCAATAACAACCATACAAACATTACCGGTTCTGATGTTGATTCAACCTCTTATCTTCTTTTGATCTTAAGTAAGACCAAGATAACAATGGATGCTAATTGACTTGTCAATATTCCTACTCCTTTGCGTTCTTTATCTCCAAAGCTTTCGCGCATAATCAATTGCACTGATTATTCCACAAGACTTCAATTCGATTCGCCGTTCTCCGTTACTTCCTTTGCGTTCTTTATCTCCAAAGGATCCTTTGCGTACTTTATCTCCAAAGGCTTTCACAACGTCACAATTATCTCTTGAACGTCTTGCACAAAAACCCCTAAATCTACACACGATCTTGGAGGACAAACCTGCGGTTTTTTCGGATGAAGACCCCTACAAATCTCAATTTGATATTCTCAGCTACACAAGAACCTAATCGGACGTTATCAGGCCTTCGCCTAGCTGGCACCCCAATAAAAAATATTATGTGTGATTTATCAGTGTGTAGACATAGGATGGGGGTTGAAGATGATGAGCAAATGCAGGCTAATTTTATGGTTTCACCAGTTTAGAATGAAACATGAATGATGTATTTATTGTTTTGAAAGATTGGTGGCAAAGATGTAATTATCGAAATTAAAGGAATTAAAAAATTGACCAGCTTAAACAATAGGTTTCGGCTTGAAGGTTGGATGTGTTAGCACATAATATAAAAAATAACAGCATGTGTCGACCTAAAAGGACCTATGTGCCGATCCAAATCAAACAGAGACTGCGATCTTATGTAGGACAGTAGATGTGTCAGGCTGAAACATGTATGTGTCGACACATAGAACTGATGTTACAGTATGTGCCAGCCTGACTTTGACAGAGGCTATAGGCTTCATTATTGAGTTGCATGTGCCAGCCTGAAAAGCGTATGTGCCAACACATGTAGTGCATTTTGTACAGAAAACTGTATTTCATGATTGCGGACAATTTTGAAGTGGTTTTTGATGATTCCTAAGACCTCTAATGCAAGGGTGCCACACAAACTCAAAGAACCGTCCAACACACAGAAATACTAAGTTTTCTTATAATTTTGACATCATGCAAAACATCTAACGGAGAAGTTGCACTCACAAGTTCACAATTTTGCGGGTAATATTGATTATTTAACATTCTTCATGTTGAGCCGATGGCGCTATATCATGGTTTGCATATGACATGAAAACTTAACATCAAAGACCTAATGTGTTCCTTCAATTATACTATCAAGCTTATTCACAACATTAAAGAGTTTCTTTTTATGGAATAACAAATTCAAATATTTCATACTCTTACGTAAGAAAAATGATTATACTAATTACGTAGTAAAACAGAACTAATAGTGATGCGGCTAATCTTTTATGAATTCTTCGGTTAGAATTATCATTCTCGAGTTAATTGATATTAATAAAATTTTATTTTTTTAAATAATTTCATGTTTTTTTTCTTTTTCTTTTCTCACCGTAAAAAGAAAAATCGTTAAATCTAAAATTCACGTTAGAAAAGGTATGTGAGATAGAGTACTTCTAGAGAAAAATTACAAACAAAATTAGAAAGAAAAAGTTACTCAAAAAATACACTCTAAATTGTAATACTATCAATACATAAAAAATAAAAAAAATAAAAACATGAATTCATCCGGTTCAACGAGAACCGGCCGGTTCAATTTGGTTCTTAAAACATAGGTTATAATATAGGAGTAGTAACAAATAGAGCGCACGAGGGATAAGTTCGCAACTTACTCTCACGAAGCTCACACTCAAACACAGTTATAACATGCGTTTAAAATGAAATAAGATGATTGGAAAATAACCAAATAGTAATAATACACTTCTATTTGCTATTGTTTGAAGGAGAAAACTCAAATCTATAACTTGATTAACGAAAGAGAAAGTTCTATGTAATGTAACAAATGATTACATACATGGTCTTGCAAAAACTGCAGGCATGCAGAAACACGACTATAGTCTATACGCGTATCGTCATTTTCCACTATCCTCAGTATTTTTAACCGGCTTTTCTATACATCGTATGGCTGTGACTTCGTCCAACAACATGAATCTCAAAACAATATGTTTCAATTAGCTATACGTACAAGAATATTCGTGTTCAAACTGTTTGGAAAGAGGCTTGAGGAGTAAGGGTGGTGAGCCAGTCCAATAAAGCTGTGTTCACGAGCTCAGGTGTCTCGTCGTGTGGACAATGCCCGGCTTGCAAGTGAACAAGAGTTGTTTTTGGATAAAAGTCTTTGATTTTATTAGCTTTGGCTGGACCAACCCATGGATCAAGGTCACCCCATAGCAGAAGCAACGGGCAAGAGAGTTCGCTTAACACGGAATCTAGAGTGTACTTGCTCTGATTCATCATGAAGCGCGTCATTAACCTACAGAAAATATTTGAAGTTACGATTTGCAGCTTTTGCATCCAAATATGACTATTACACGCAACGCATTTTCACGTAACGTATCAAAACATAAATCATTTTAACTTAAACTCGCTTTAGAAAAACCAATATTGCAAAGTCAATTGTCGTCTCCGTAGAACCAAATACACGCAAAGACTGACTAGGTAGTATAGGATGCACACATTCATGTACCTGTAATAAACTTCTCCGGCATTCGGGTCTTGAGCTGGCCTTGTTATTGATTCCACAAGATAATCATCCACATTGGAAGAGTTTACATACACCTGCATTGCCAAGCTATGCAATTAAACTCTATACCTATTAATCTTTCAAAGAAACAAAGGTTGAAGGTAGCATTTAACCTACACTTTTCAAGACTGATTTAATTCGGGCAGGTTGTTTCGATTGCCAAAATATAAATCCGAGAACTACACGCTGGAAAACTTCCTTCAACGGTTTTAGGAAAAACTTTTGTAGAGGTGTTTCCTCGGAGTTTTTACTTTCCTTATTTCCATCACCAAATTGTCCTGCAGAATTCAGTAGCGCGACCCCGTTGACAAACTCAGGCAACCCGGTTGCTGCAATCAAAGCAGTAAATCCTCCAAGGCTGAAAAACCGTCATGATTGAGATTACCATCATAGTTTTAACTTTGTTGAACAAAAAAGAAAAGAATCAATATGTGTATTATAGTCACTAACTACCTGTTTCCAACCAAAACAGCTGGTTCTTTTACGATTTCCTTCAAGAAGTCCGTGACTTGATCCCTCCATACCATGGCATCATAGTCGACGAGTGCTTTGTCACTCCATCCAAATCCAAGCAAGTCTAAGGCATAAACCTTGTGTTTCTTAGCCAATTCCGGGATATTGTATCTAGAAATAGTCGTCACACATGTTAATTGCTAAATGCATGTAATATCCTAAGTAAGAACATAGTCGTCAATTCCAGATAGCAGCGCAGAGCGGCCGACTCCAAAAATGGATAGCAGGATCACCGCTATTTGATATTCTTTTAACAAATTACATGAATAACTCAACAAATAATTCAAAACAAACCTCCAATGGAAAGCAGATGCACCAAAACCATGAATAAGAACAAGAGGAGGTCCTTCTCCTTGTACAACATAGTGAATGTTATGATCCTTCCACTTCCAATAATTGTACCCTTCAGGTTTGTATGCTAATCTTTCAAGTTCCTTGTCTTAATAAGGAAAAGGCCATACAAATATAAGCAAACAAATCAAAAAGTCCTAGACCAAGATCTAGTTCACGACATCATTGAGTATCTACTAACCTTGAGATGGTTGAGCTTGAGAAGTAAGAGTGGAAGCCATAGCCATAGCTGAAACTCCAGTTGCTACAATTCCTTTAACTGCTAAACTCCTTCTGGTCATTTCACATTTACTACCTTCAAACAACATAAACAAAATCAGAAACAAGAAAGAGATGCAGAAAAGGTATGAATATGAAAGAGGGTGTAGAGAGAAGAGTGAGTAACTGTGATAGAGAGGGAGTGAAGTTGCGGCAATGAAGGTTGTTTTAGTGAGATGTAATCGGGAAGAAGGCGAGGGAGTGGATATACAAGAAGCCATTGAAATGGGGAAACGTGGGTTGGAAGGAAAATAGAGAGTTTTTGAGGATGTTCAGACCGAACCTTGTCTGTGGTTTAAGGTTGTTTTGTTAAATTGTGCGGTGAGCGATGATTGAGGTTGTGGCTTACTCCAAGCCATTGACTCTCGTTGTCTCAGATCAGATTTGTAACACATTGTTTGGGATCAATAATAAATTAATAAGTGTTTTCTTTTTACCTAAATCTTAATGATAAGTGAATTCTCTTTTAAGACTTTGGTCAATTATTAAATTTTTGGTATAATTCAATTTTTTAGTATTTAATTTAATTTATTGTAACTTAACATTATATTCTCTTAAAACATTTATGTTAATTTAACAAGTTCTTCTATTAAATTATACCGAAAAAGACATTAAAAAACGCTTATATGACAAGTCTCTTCTATTAAATTATACAAAAAAAAAATGTTAAAAAACACCTACGTGGCAGTATACATATAATATAACATGGCATATTATTTTGTTTTTTCAATTATTAATAAAATTATTTTAATTTAAATTATGAAAATCATTTTCAATTTTAGAAAGATCATTTCTCAACTCTTCACCTACCAATAAAAGTACACTTGTCTTTCTAAACTCTTCAGTTTCAAACTCTAACTCATTGTTTTACTCTCTAATACTCTGAAATCCTAACTGCGAAGAAGAAGACTTGGAGCGACGAAGAAGATGATAGTTGGAATGACGAAGAAGATTATACATAAACATTTTCACCATTGTTCATTTCCAGTTTTCTTTTAAGGTATGATTATCTGTTTACTATATTAAACAGCAAACCTTTATCGTTTTCTCATTCTTCAAAGACTCATTTCTTCATTATTTAGTTTGATTAGGTCATGAGGTATAGGTTTTTGTGTGTTATCCATCATGAGAGTGTATTTGTTGAGTTTAACAAATTAGGTTGCAAGGGGTTAAAAAAGGTTTAGGAAGTTGGCCCTGATTTTTGGAGTTATTTTGAGGTTCTAAGTGGTTTAAAGGGTACCCAAAAGTGAAAAGTTTGTGGTATTACCATGCATGGATATTAATGAGCTAGTTTTGTTGAAAGATGATATAGGAACAAATAGAATGAAAGTCATAGCACTGTTTAATGGGAACGTGCATTTATATGTCATGCATCCAGTTTATGGGGAATAACCAATACTCTCTCTAGAAAACAATGTAGGACCCCATGGAAAGGATGAAGAATGTGAAGTAAGAGATAAGGACAATTTGGAGGATCTAAATAGTTTAGAAGACGATAATTTGGATGATTTGAATAATGGTGTAAAAGGTATTTTTGATGATTTGGGTACTTTTGAAGATTTGAATATTCTAAGTGACAAGTTTGATGAAAGAGGGGCCAATGTTTGATCCGCTGTCGCGCACAAATAAAAAACGAGTAATTTTAAGAAAATAGTTAGCGGTAACGACAACTCGAGTATCGTTCTCACAAGGATTCTTGTATTATTTCAACCAACTAAATAAAAGGTTTATGGGGGTTTTAAGTTTTGATTTATAAAATAAGAGAAAAAAGTGATTAAAAAAAGTGATTATTAGATAATATAAAACGGCTAATCCTACTGATTCGGGTTCCAACTTATCATCGACTATTATAACGAATTAAGCAAACGATAACACGCAATTAAATTTAGGAACATGCATACAATCGAATTTAATCAATTTCATCCTATGAACACAATCGAATTAAGCAAGCGATTGCAATCAAATTAAGTAAATGATTTCATAAAAAAGAATTGAACAGAAATCGAATTAAATTGGTATTATAATAACCTCAAAGTGACGGAACCCGTAAGCAGTAGGATTTGCCTTGGGAATTAGTTTTCCATGAAAAATTGTACAAAACACAATGAAATTCGTAAAAAGAAGGTAAAGTGACAGTAGTACAACTGCTAGGTATAAGAAAGCATCAACACTTCTGGTTTTAACCCAATTGGGTCGAAAAACATAAAAAAGCCCGACCCAAAACTAAATATTTCAAACGGCAGATTTCGGGTCCTGACTTCAACAAATTATTTGGACCTGCTACACTTTGAATCATCCTCTGTCTCCTACATAAAAGTTGTAGCTCTCTGTCTTAACTTTCCAACACCTATTAGAACGCGCAAATCTGATTCTCACAGCTCCAATTATGATCAAACAGTGGACATATATCAAATAACCGCTAAAGCTGAAAATAAGCTGCGAAAATAAAATAAAGGTAAAAACAAACTTAAATATGAAAACACATTAAAATAGTAAAAATATTCAAATAAACTGTAGGAATGCCTAAGTATAAAAATGGAAGAATGTGTATGAAGATGTACTTATCAAATTCCCCAACACTTAATCTTTTGCACTCTGAGCAAAATATTATCAAGACTCATGAAAAACAAAAGTATTTAGATACTCATTCTAGGCTGTAAACTCTTCTTCGGTCAAGATTGCATCGATAGGTACTAATTTTGCACACTAAGGATATCGTAAGAACACAAATCCGCAATTGTGCGGTCATAAAGCTCCCTTCTATACAAACCAATCCAAATCGTGTTATTATGCTTAAGTCTAACTTACTCATCCTCTTTTTTACTCTCTTTCATTCTAATACAATCACATTAAGCCCTTTATCTATTCGCACACATGGTAAATAAGCTTGTTAGTGACTATGATCCATATATTTTCAACAATTCAAAATTAAACACTTTTGCTTTTTTTTTTCAAGGTTTCACAACCGTTAGCCTAAGTGACCGGGTGAGGGTCACCTAACTTAAAAGGCAGATTCCTACTTAGACTTCTTATTAAGCATGAAATCATTAACTTATTTGCATCAGCTTAATTACTTAATGTGTGATTTCTAGATGATGTTGACTGCTAGATAAACTACTTAAGAGCTATTAAAGGATAAGAACTCAAGGTTATGTCATAACAAACATTTAAATTGATTTCCATATTCGGGAGACTTAAGGTGTTAAAACGGTACGATCTTATAAAATTTTCCCAAGTCTCCATAATCTAACCTCAAATTAATCTATAGCCTAAAAATTTCAAAAGATGCATTGTTTTCTAAGTAAAAAAAATTTAAGAACAAAACCAAAAGAAAATAAAGAAATGGTTCCCTCCCCCACACTTAAAATATGCATTGTCCTCAATGAAAGAACATAAATATAAACAAGAGTGACAGAAAGGAAAGAACACACCCGAGTATTCAAGGTGGATAGGTGATCACATAAGCAGCATTTCCCAAAGAGAGATCTTCTGCAGGCTCCTCTTCCAAAGTGGGGATGACATAAAGTAACTTTGGGTAACATCCATTGATCTTGAAATATTTATTAGTGCCTTCGCCTTTTATTCTAGGATCAAAAAAGAATCTTTGATAAATAAAAGTGTCGAATGGGCACGTAAATGTGATATCCTTTTCCACAACATCGGAGATCAAAGGATTAAGGGGTTGCCTCACTACTTTTCTTCCATCTTCTATCGAGGTCCATCCAATTCCCTTCTTATGTTTCTTCAAAACCTGCAAAAGTTTATTACCTTGATCAAAATCAAAGTTAGAAGAAATTATAACATGTAACTTTTTATTCCTCTCTAAATAAGCATATTTTAGATTGTTCAGAAATGATTTAAGCTCTAAGAAAGGAGGTTGTTCAATGGAAGGCATGTTCGGGGCAGTCAGAATATCAAGAGTTTCAGCTGCATAAACAACATCATGAAAAGCATCACCCTGCAAGGCAGCATTAATCTCAGCACAAATAGAGCAAACGTTAGTGTCAGTACATAAATCGCAAGAGTAAGTATCATCATAGTCTAATAAAGATGGAAAATCAGATAACAACTCAGAATAAATATCATCAACTAAATCAGACAATAACTCTTTTGGATTCACTATTGCTTGGGCCGGTAGTTGGTTTGATTCTTGAGCTTGTTGCATGGCATTCACTACAGTGGTAAGTTGTTTAATCTGTGTCTGCAAAGTCTGAAGACTGGAATATGTTCGTTGCTGAAACTGAAGATCATTTATAGCCATTTGCTTGACAAGGTCCTCTAGTGAAGGTTCAAAAGGTGTAGAGCACACAATTTAGAATTCATTCAGATGCTTATTCGGATCCTCACCTGCAAGATTATTAAACCTTGGCAACAAGTGTATTAAACCAGATTCCAATTTGAAAGGTACAGTAACAACAAGATATTCCGTACATAAAGCATTATAATTTATATCATGGACAACAAGTTATCTAAGAGTTCTTTGATTTGTCATATTAAAATTCATAGGAAAAAATCAACAAAGACAAAGAAAACCCATAACTACTTCAGTAATGCAGCAACAATTAGGAAAATACCAACAATATCCATAATTAGAAAAAGAATGGAAAAATAGAAAACCGAATAAAATAAAATCTAAAAATTATAAAAATATAATTAAAAATCAAATCAAATCAGAATAAATCTCTACAAAAAATTTCGGATTTTTTTGAAGATATGAAAATAGAAAATAAATCAAATAAAATATGAAAATAAGGAATTTGTGATTTTCAGGGTCAGATTCTTTTAGAGTTTTATTCTAAAAGAGTAATGTTCTTAGATTTTTTTTTCTGATTTTCTGGAAAAAATTTGGAGCAAATCGAAACAGTAGCTTCCAAACTCACCTGTTAGGCTGGAATGCTTACCACTGTACTGCAACCTTGAAAAATCAACAAGCAAACACAAAAAAAAAACAAAAAAATCTAACAAAACTCTAAACTAAAATTCTAAAATTGGCTAAAATCAACAAGAGTCCCCGGCAACGGCAAAGTGATGAAACCTGTAAGCAGCAGGATTTGCCTTGGGAATTAGTTTTCCATGAAAAATTGTACAAAACACAATGAAATTCGTAAAAAGAAGGTAAAGTGATAGTAGTACGGCTGCTAGGTATTAGAAAGCATCAACACTTATGGCTTTAACCAACTGGATCGAAAAACATAAAAGACCCGACCTAGAACTAAATATT